CGTAAAAAAAAAAACATTTTTACTAGTATATTAATACCATACTTACTCTCTGGATTATATCATAGGTATTCTCCATTGTCGTTTTTTATTAGTTCGTTCATTCTGTTCTTTATTAAAACCGTCACTTCAGCTCTTTTTATTCCACAAAAAACTTTGTAATTTGTCCTTTCCCATAAAAAGTGTATTATTATCTTATAAAAATTGTTTTTTTTTTTAACCTATCTCCTTTTACGAATTGACACTTGATAATTGTTATATGATGACATGAGTATTTGACATTGACATACTTTTGCCTCTACCGAAAAATTAATGCGGAGGAAAAGTAGCTGCCATTCCGGAATTGGGACTGATTAAAACGAAAAAACAGACAATTCCGGAAGCAGAAAAAGGTGATTAAAACACACCTTATAACTTTGAAAAAAAAAAAAAGATCAGTTGTTTCGTGAAGTTACTGTAAATTACAAATCGTACCTTTACTGCAAATACCGCCTAAATACATATTTTGTCATAAACAGACGTTAGTGTGGAAAATTTTACCCGTAAAACAGATATTTGTGAAATAGTTACTACTAAATTTTGTCAGTAGCTTGTAGCATTGATATGGTTATAAAGTCTTCAGAAAAGTAAATTAATTCTGCTAAAAAGTGCTAGACTTATATGGTTTTTCCTGTAAAGAAATAGTAGTTTGTGCAACAAGAGTGGATATGATGGCCATTTCGCATGAAGACGAAATTTGAGCACGACGCCGTAAGCGCAGTGTTCAATCGTCCAAGTGCGATATGGACAATCCACTCGAGTTGTACAGTATATTTTTTCTACGACCCACTAACGAAAATCTACAAATATTATTTTAGGTTATTAAGATAAAATAATTAATTTAAAAATATTTTATGACTTTTACTAATTTATAAAATAAAAAAATTAACAAGAAAAGAAAATAAAAAATCATTTAATTTTTCTCCACCTGAGATTTAAACTCGAGTCTTCCGTATGGAAGGCAAAATCGCTGACCACATGACCATCTATGCGTTTATTTTTTTTTGCTTTAATACTCGTAATTAAATTGACTTCATATAGTTTTATTTAAATTAACAAATTATTTATAATTATAGACGAAATAAAAATAGAAATTCTATTATTTATCGATTCTACACAAGAATTTTAATATATGTTTAATCTCAATAACTAAAAAATATACTGAGACAGAATTGTCACTTATTTACAATTTTAAAAATAATAGCAGTCGGTTGATCTAAATATAAACTGTGATTGGTGGATTTCATTTTTTTGCAGTGATCTCACTACCTAGAATGAATATGAAATATATTCGTTCGGTTGAAGGCAATATCATACTTTTTCGTTTTGTAATCTGCTAATATCCATGTGGGTGTAGAAAAATATTTGTTTATACCAAGAAAAACTATCTGTCTTTGCATATTTGCAAGACAAGCTTATATAGTGTTCCATTTCTTTAATTAGTAAAATATTTATCCTGATCGGGTTTCGACTTGTTGAAAAAGCCAAATATATAGGTACATTTAATTCTTATTTTGATATATACAATAACCTCTATTTTATTTAAGAAAAAAAAATTAGAATACATTTTGATAAAATGCAGATATGTATTACTACCTATACATAATTTTATTGAAATGTGATGTTATTTATTTTTAGCCATAATTTAATTTTAAATGAGACTTTGTATTGATTAACACAGCTTTTACTAGTAGATTGAGCTTCTAATGTTATAACTGATAGTGTGAGGAACTGATAGTAGGAGGAACTGATAGTGTGAAGAACTCATTTTAAGGAAATTGTCGATTAGTTGGAATATGCATTAAGGAAGCGTTTAGTAACTAACTTGTTTAGTGACTAGGTGTATTTCCACAACCATGCAGTGTAAATATTGCTGATTTTTAATACTTATATTTTTAAATTGCAGAGAGCAAACTTTATGTTACTTATACCAGAATTAAAAAGGAAGTCTAAAAGCTATTGAAAGAGGAGCACCAACTTCCTTTGGATCTCCTCAAAAAAAGAGACAGAGGAAAAAATCAGTAGTGGAAGCACTAAAACTTGGAGAACTGGAAAGGATTCGGGAGATCGTTTATGATTTTTACATCCTGGAGAAAAGGGCTCCTAGTTTAAAATGTAAGTTTGATAGAAATACAATAGTTATTTTTGTATTAAGTGTCTGAAATCAGGTTTTTTATATTGTGCCATTGACATATAGTGAAATTAATGACAAGAAACATCTGCCAGTTCACTTTTACCCGGAAAACATTTTTTAGACTCGAATGACAATAATTTATATACAAAAATATTCTGGTTGGAGATAATTCTTCTTACCACAATGTGAAAACTGAAAAAGTATTACTGCAGCATCTAGGAAAGTAGAAATGTTAGAATGGATTTGGGCCAATAAGACAAAACCCGCTTTGTATGAATTAATAAAAACATTTCGGTTAAGTATACCTGATTTCTATAAATTGGGCTGTATACTGCAAGTCTTACCGTTGCCACCTTAGCCAGAATTCAACCCAATAAAAAAAATCTGGTCAGTGGTTAACAACTGGGTGGAAGTGCATACCATTTTTAAGCAGGATAATGTGGAGAAACTAGCCAGGAAGAAATTTTTTGAAGTTTCTGTTCAAGAATGGTGTCCTATTTGCGAAAACGTAATGAAATGCGAATCTGAATGGATTAAAAAAGAACACATTCTTGATGATGCTGTAGATTCTCTTGTGTTTATTGTAAATAAAGGATCATTTGACGAATATATTTCAGAGGATGACTAGCAATGACATCATTAGGAGTATTATAGAATTAATTGACTATGAAAGTGATTAAATAACACAGGTCCAGCATACCTAGATTCTAGGCAAAAATATTTAAAATATTCTGATAAGGCTCAAATTGATGAATTTAAAATCGATATATCACTAAAGTCAATAAACAAAAAACCTTAAATTTACATAATATACTTTTCCAATAACTAGTAACTAACGCCTAACTCCTATTCACTACTATGCCACTGTCGGAACCTTAAATGGGAACGGGTATGGCACTTTAGGGTACAATATCTGGAACCTGAAGAAATCGTGAGGCGCACATCAGACATATTCTTGATATCATCATGAAAATTATTCTGAAGGGGTGCAATAAGCCTGGAGCTTCAGTATGAGTGGGCTTTGAACCGCACCTTAATTCAGATATATAGATAGATAGATAGATAGATAGATAGATAGATAGATAGATAGATAGATAGATAGATACGATAGATAGATAGAACATTTAAAATTTAATCTATGTGTTTAACTACAAATAGGATTAAAAACGTTCTAGTTTTTGAAGTAAGGGTAAAAAATATAAAATTTTGTAAAATATTTCACCCATGTGGAACTAGCAGTCAATTAATTAAGAAATAAAACAAACGTTTATTATCACTAAACGATTTTGTATTCATTGTTCGTACACTTCCCACTTGATTGTAAGCTGCAGATTTTGTTAAAGTTTTTAGATATGAAATGTTTTAAAAATTTATATTTTCCCCTTCTTTTCATAATTTATACTAAAGTTACATAATATGACATTTGAGTTCCAACTTTTCAATGTTTTTTACCAGTAATTTGAGTAAACCATTTAACAAAGATGTTACCAATATTTTTCAAACATTCATAAATTAAAATAATTTTTTTTATAAGTTCCTATTTTGTGTTTTTTTTACCTTTTTTAATACCTAATATACTTAGAACTTAAAGTAATAGGCTATTGATTATGTCCCAAAAGGAGGGTAAAATCTCAACTAGTCCATTTTTATCTGAAAAACGTTTATAACCCTCGATTTTATAGGAAATCTCTACTCAGAAAGCAATTATACGCCGAAAAGTAACAAAAAATGGATTTTTGCTTTTTAAATTAATTTTTTTTAATATATTTTATATAAAAAAAAATTAAATAATTTGATGTGAAATCATATTCTTTACAAAAAAAAATCCTATTAACTATACCTGAATTTTGCTACGCTAGAAAGCAATTATATGCAAAAAAGTTAAATAAAATTTGCTCCTTTGCTTTTTAATTTTTTTATAATTACCTAAACAAAAATTTTAAATAAATAGTTTGATGAGAAATCACAATCTTTACAAAAAATTTCTATTAACTATACCTGAATTTTGCTTCGTTTTCGAGATAATTAAAAAACTCAAGAGTTGCATTTTCAATTCTATCTCCAATTTCCACCCGCTAATTCAATCATTATCATTTTTATTGACCATTTAAATGATTCATGTGATAAAAACCCAGGAAAGTGATCATTCCTTTATATATGGCATAACCAATAGAGACTATAAGGGATTTGTAAGTTTAGAATTTTTTTTCAACTTTTCTTGCATCAAAATGGGTGAAAATTGACCAAAACCATTTCCATAATATTTATATTTATTTAAGCATTAAAAATGAAATGGTTACGCTACTGATTTGAATTCAAACATCAAATTTATAATATGATGACCTCACGTTCGGGCATATAACTGCAACTTCAGCTGGCTTCTTCTCACGTGAAACGGATTCTATCCCGTCTGTCATGTGTGGTAAAGTTAAATTTAAACAAAAAAGTAGACAGAAGCTAAACTGTAGAAGTAATCCCAGGTTAGCACAAAATGTTTCATTACTAATTTCAAAATGTCTCTAAAATGGAACATGTCGATCAATGACCTCCCGTCTGCAGAATTAAATGTACCAACAGCACCACCTAGAGGCACCTCTAGGCAACATTATTAGCCTGCATGACTTTGACGAGCTGGGGGATGAACAATGAATCTAGAGAGGCCTAAGTTATGTGGGGACAACCTACCCTCCCCCACTTTATACATACATATCTAATTCAATAGTTGTTAACTAGTCTTCAAAATTGTGGTCAACATTGAAATAAATTCGGTTAAAACTACTCTCACAACAAATAATACTGAATATTATAAATATGAAAGAAAAATACTAACCTATTGCTAAAAATATATCGTTAACATTCATTGCTGTCTTTGCAGAGGTTTCCATAAATAACAATCCGTTTTCGTCCGCGTAAGTCTGCGCTTCTTCATACTCCACCATCCTCTTGTTGGCCAAGTCCTGCTTGTTGCCAGCCAAAGCTATCACGATTGTGGGGCTGGCCTGCCTCTGAAGTTCTTTCACCCACGTCTTCGCCCTGCCGAACGTGTCTTGGTTGGTAATATCGTAGACCACTATAGCTGCCTGTGCGCCCCTATAGTACATAGGGGCTAAACTGTGATACCTGGCAGAAACAAAGACATTTGATTGAACAAAAAACTTTTAACTATCAGATGAGGTACATTTTCGGTATTTTTTTATTATAACATCAAACTATACATTAAAATAATTTTATTTATAAATGTTCTACACGGTAAAAACCAAAACACTGAAGTATTGTCTTATTTAATAAAGGCCCTTGACCTTCTAACTGGGCTAGCTCTATTTACAAAATTATTACATCTCAAAATAAATGGATATGATCCAACACAGAAACAATCATTGACCATCAGTATTCTGCCCAGTAGATTGTTAATTTCCCTAATCACTGCTGAAACAAACCCAAAACACTATAAACATGGCACCTATCTGTTTTAATAGTTTTTCAACCATCTATCGCCACACCATCTGCTTTGCATCAATTTTATTGACAAATTTCCCGACCTTTAGGGGAAAACCCTGCCTAATGTCCCAAATAATCAGCAGTAAATCATAAACAGCATCATACACCAAAGAATCTAGAATTAAAAATGTCACTAACACCTGACTAATGCAATTAAAATTCCCCTGACTTTCAAGGATCAACACAAATTCCCATACATTCACAGACCTTACCTTTCCTGTCCCGCTGTATCCCATATTTCAAATTTGACAGTTGTATCGTCCAGGCAAATGGTTTGTGTAAGGAAAGCTGCTCCGATGGTGCTTTCCTGATATTCGTGGAACTGTCCTTTGACGAACCTCAGCACCAAGCTCGATTTACCGACAGCACTCTCGCCGAGCAAGACGAGCTTGAACTGACAGATCTTACCCTGGGTGGCGCCGTTTGGTCTCTGGGCAGTACCGGTTCTATTTGTCGCCATTTTTAATTAACTGAAAATAAAAATTATGATAATATAGTTTAATTTAATTCAGTTTTCAAATTCAGAGTTGCCTTAGTGTATTACTGTGCAACCCATAGATAATTTAAAAAATGGTTTGAGTTATAGGAGGAAGTTGTTTCCTTGTTTGTAGTTAATCTTTAAGCGTGTAGCGGCGCTGCGAACACTAATTATAAAGACGTTTTACATCCATAAAATAATTTTTCAAATATAATGATAAAGAAATCAATAATTTTACGAGGGCTGTTTTCTTTCCGCTGAGCCTATATAGTGGACGATATTTTTGCAACAAATTTTATCTGACTTTTCAATTTTCTTACTTACAAGTTTAGTTAGTAACATTTGTTAAATATACTTATAAAATAAGTGATATAAATGAACAAGGATCATTATCGGGTTGTGATTTTTTAAAATTTCAAGTGTGGCTTAATATATAAAGAATGTTTTGAGGAAATCAATTGAGTGCTTGGTGGAAAGTCGTGTTCCTTTGCTACTATAAAGTGGTACAATTATTTTAAATGTGGTTAACTTTCCTTAAATGACAGTTTTCGATTTAATAAGCCAAAAACGACAATTACAGAAAAAATATTGATCTTATTCAGAACATGATTAAAGACGACCATTAAATTACCGTCAGAGACATTAAAGCAACTTTAAAGATTGGTGTGAAAGCAATTAACACTATTTTAAACAAACAATTGAAAGTGTGTAGGCTTTGTTCTCGGTGGATTCTCCACAACTTGAATGAGCTCAAAAAGAAGACCGTGTAAGATGGTGCCGATATACACTAGATCACCTGATTTGGTGTACACCATCCCGAAAAGAAACAACAATCAACAGTTTGGGTTTTTTAGAATGTGTATGCTCAAACAAAAGTTGGTCTTGAAAAAAGTCAAAACAGAAAGATGGTCGCCACTTTTTTGTTCCACTATAGCACTAGAGGATAGATGTACTGTTAATTCAGAATGGTACACTACAGTTTGATTGCCTCAGGTTCTCCAAAAGGTAAAAGGTAAATTACGGTGTTTACATTTTACATCGGTCAAAGATGCAGTTGATGTCTTTAAAAATGAAATAAACCAACCGGTAGAAGATTGGAAAAAATATGTTCAAGAATGGTTTGTGCGGATGCACAAATGCATTGACTGTGGAGAATACTTTGAAAAATTATAAATAAATGTATCATACCAAATAAATTTTATGAATTGTGAGGTGAAATAAACCCATTATAGATAAATTACAGAGGTATGATACTTAGCCAATAAAATCTCATCGAGTTCGCACAATGACATAGTGTGGTGCAGGAAATTGAAATGGTCCATTTAAACATAATATGGAAACAAAGCATAAAATGCAAATTTATTGTTTGTTTATAAATTGATTAATGGTTATATCAACTGTCCTGATCTATTGATACAATTTTGTTTCAATGCTGGGCCAAAAACAAACAGAAATAGACCTATATTTTATATACAATCACACTCAACCAATTGTGGTTATCATAGTCCTCAAGAATATAGTCATTTTCAGTTAGGTATCTTCAACAAATCTCTAAATTTATTTAAAAATACCTAATTGTAAATATTGAAAAAGCTCCCTATTTTTTTCATTTTATTTATTACATTTTTATTTTTATATATGCTTATATTTATATTTATATTGTTTTTCTGTGATTTTAAACTTATAAACATTTTTAACTGGTTGTGATTGTAAATTATTATAGTAGTGAATATACCTGCTAAATAGCAATATATAAAAATGTGTGTAAATTATGTTAATTTATTCAATTTGATATTTTTCGTATTATGTACTCGAAATTCGTAAATAAATAAATAAATATAAAACTAAATAAAAAATTAAATTAAAAAATAATTTGATTTAAATCTAATTGAAATAACTATGAAAGAAAAGTCAAAAGTTTCAACATTCAATCTATTATTAAACCAGGCGGGAATTTTGACTGGAGAATGTAGCTGAATTAGTAAAAACGTTTTCATTATCTGATTTTCTGGTTGGTGCAGCAGGTGCTAATGATTTTGATATGTCCAGGGTCCCTAAATTCAGAAATATTTGTTCGAAACTGAAACTATGTACCCACACTAACTTTATAATGGTGTCTGTTCCAATTTTGAGAAGACACAGTGACAAAAACCTAATCAAGAAATTTAATTTGAAATTAGACCATTTTCTGAATAAGTTGGACAATTATACAGAAGGTAGAATGTTATATGTAAATATCAATTATGAGCAAGGTGCCAAACTAAAACTGTCCGATATCATACGAAAAATTAGTGTAGCAATAATTAATAGCAAAAATGTCTGTAAAAATTTAAAATTTATTAACACTGTGAAATCTAAAAATACAAACTGTAACATGTCTACTAACTTGGGCTCTATAGATTTGACAGGTTTAAATAATTTTACTGTTCTTCCTATTAATAATAGTAACTTGGGCTCTATAGATTTGACAGATTTAAATAATTTAACTCTTCTTCCTTTTGATAATAGTAACTTGGGTTCCATAGAGTTGACAGGTTTAAATAATTTAACTGTTCCTCCTTTTGATAACGTATCTATCACACCCACAGTTAATAAGGATTTCCCACAAAGTCTCAAACTCAAGATCCAAATTAAAAAGTACAATAAATATACACAGTGTCTAGGTACACCCTAACTTGTACACAAATCAAAAAGTTATATACACGCGAAACGTCTTGACAGAGTAGGTGAGCCGTGTCTAGGCCGTTGGTATTCAAGCCGGTCGGCGTAGTTAGGCATGGATCGAAATTTTCTGGTGGCGGCGAAGCCGCCACCCTACGAGAAGTCGTTGCTTCGTTTTCTTATTGTCACGGCATTATTATTATTTGTTCATTTATGTGAAATTTACTTCTGTTTATAAAATACTACTGCTAGTCACGGCGTAAATGAAAACAAACAAGACGCATTCACACAAACACCTCCCACCACAGCAATATGACGTTTCGCGTGTATATAAGTTTTTGATTTGTGTACACTTTAGCGTATACCTAGCAACAGCCTCGGCAACAGCTATAAATATATTATATTTAACCCTCGGTCACCCGCGTTCAATTTCGAAACAAGAGTGCCCGCGTGGTGTCTGTCAGACGCCATTCAATTAAGTCATAAGAATGAAATGAAAATATACCCTAAAAGTTTTATATAAATAATTTACATACTACTCATATATATTTTAATGTTTTAGTTTAAAATCGCAAACAAAAATTTCGTTCTTACATCAGTAAAATTAATATATAATAAATATATCATTATTTTCATTTTTAAACATATGACCAAAATAAATTAAAATCTTGAAATAAACAGATAACTTTTTAACGTAAATAGAATAGTATAACTAATTAAAAAAAAAAGAACAAATCCCCAAACGCGATAATAGCTATTTCATTTAAAATTACATGACATGGCATATATATTCTTCATGCTCGAGGCATATAAAATTATTGTATTGCTTTAACTTTTATTTGTTCATGCGATTTTTTTTTCTACTACACGTCTTTAGTACACGTATTAAAGAAGGTACAAGGAAGGAGAAGTCAGCATCTCACTATTTTAAAAAGTTATGTGCATTGTTAATAAGAGTGGCGTCTGTCAGACGCCACGCGGGTATTGGAGGGTTAAATGCTGAGAGCTTGGTGGCCCACATTGATGAAATCTCTAATTATGTGTTGTCAAAAAAACCAAGTTTAGTATGTGTTTTTGAAACTTGCTTGACTGAGGATATTTATGATTCAGAAATAGGCATCGAGGGATACAAAAATTATAGAGTTGACAGTGAAAGTAGACACACAAGGGGTGCTTTAATTTATGTACAAAGTGAACTGGAGGTTTTAAAATATTTTAAATTTTGTATTCCAAAAATTTGTTGGATTTGTTTCTGGGATGGTAATATTAGGAAACAATTTTTTTTTTATTTGTTTCTTTATATAGGTCACCTAGCAGAAGCTATATAATTTTTTTTTAGATTGTTTTAGCTCTTGGGCTGAAGAAAATTTATGTGATAATTCTAAAATAGTAATTGTTTCTGGAGATTTTAATATTGACCTGTTAACTAAAAACACTTACAGTGCGAAATTAAGTGATATTTTGATTGATACTGGATTAAAAAATATTGTTACAGAATGCACAAGACCAAATAGAAGTGGTGGAGCCGCATGGGCGAAGTTAGGGGGGGCTAACCCCCCCCCCCCCCCAAAAACAAATTAGCCCCCCCAAAAATAATTCGAATATTTATGGCACATCCATCCACACATTTCAGATTTCAGAACAGAAATTAATAAATAAAAAAAAAATCGTGCATTTTGATTGATTCTGAAATTTTACATTTAGTTCAGGAGGCAGTGAATTTTACTCGTACTCATTTTTCCAATCGATGTAAAAGAAAATGAACTGTTCTCTTAGTGACAAAAAACAAACATTTTGAGTCTGACACTTATTTTCCCAGTCATAAGTATTTTACATTTACTAAACTAGAACATAAAGTTTATAAAAATAGCAGTTTGGAATATCTCAGATAGTGGACTGTTAATAATAATAAGTCTGGCTGATTTACGAAATTGGCAAATGAGTCTGGTAACATCTTCAAAATCGAAAAAAAAAATATAATATTTTTGCTTTTATTTTCCCGGGTTTGAAAATTTGTCACGTGATAGATTATATTATAATTTTACAACTCTATTTTATAGCAGATCAAATACCGTTATTTTAAAACGCTTCCATGAAAAATTTCCGGAAATTTTCCTTTTGGTGGGTACCCTGAACGAAATTATACTGAAAATTGTTTTGACAGTTGAGAAGCTCTTTTATGCATGTTTTATATGCTGTTCTATGGCCAGCTTTAAAAATTTTATTTTAGTCGTTTTAATACATGTCTGTCTAGTTTTGAAATTTGGATATTTTGGTGTAAAATATTCTTACCCAATACCTACCACTGGTGCCTAAATTATTATCAGTAAA